AAAATGGTCATTCAAGTAACATATTTCATCTGATGCAGTATACGCAGTTGATAATTCAATATTAAATGCTATCACGAGTGCCTAAAAAATGTGATACAAATGATTCATTATTAAAAATTGACTGAACTGATACAAAACCAGATTGAAATGAACTAACCATGTAGATTGTCTTGATACGTGCCATGATAGATTTCAACTCTGAAGTTACTCATGGATGATAACGTAACCTAAAAAATTTAACCAATAAACAAACATCAACAGAGTTGTGGTAAAATTTCATGTAATGTCACACAGAGAGACACACTACTGGAAGATAATGTGCAAATAGTAAAAGCTTAGACTACACTACGGCTACATATGACCTAATAGTACTTTCTCATAGAGCCAGTTGATATGAGTGATAACATGGGCTAGTATTATCCATGAACCAAAGGTGAGTCTATGATGCCACAAGTTCCATGAATCAGCTCTACGTCAAATCGTGCAGGCCAGGGAACCAGTATAGATGTTAAAACATGCAGGCCAGGGAGCCAGTATAGATATTTAAACATGCAGGCCAGGGAGCCAGTATAGATATTTAAACATGCAAGAGAGGGAACAAATATAAAAGAATAGATGTTAAAACATGCAGGCCAAGGAACCAGTATAAATGTTAAAACATGCGGGCCAGAGAACCAGTATAGATGTTAAAAAATGCAGGCCAAGGAACCAGTATAGATGTTAAAAAATGCAGGCCAAGGAACCAGTATAGATGTTAAAACATGCAGGCCAAGGAACCAGTATAGATGTAAAAACATGCAGGCCAGGGAACCAGTATAGATGTTAAAACATGTGGGCCAAGGAACTAGTATAGATGTTAAAACATGTGGGACAAGATACCAGTATAAACGACAAAACCTACAGACCAGGGAACCAGTATAGATGTTAAAACATGCAGGCCAAGGAACCAGTATAGATGTTAAAACATGTGGGCCAGGGAACCAGTATAGAAAATTATATTTCATTATAGAAAATTTAAAACAAATTTAAAATATTGTGAGAAATATTTAAATTCTTTATCTAACTTCAAGGGCACCCAATTAAAATTCAAGGCAAGATCCTGCACTCTTGGTTTGGCATATGAGAAAAGGAAATGGGCAAACTTGGATAATAATGATTGTATCTGTTCATGTTGCAAAAAGGAACCTGAAACACTGGAGCATTTCATATTACATTGTGAATGTTTCTCAGCACAGAGAAAAACCCTAATGGAAGGGATTGAAATGCTCCTATGTAACAAAAACGAAATAAATTTACATAAAGACTTCATAGCAAACAAAGAACTGCTATGTTTAATCCTGGGTGACAGTACAAGGCAGTATAATTCAATCCTGTGTGATACTTTTACAAAAAAATTCTTAGTTGATGCCATGGAGAGTAGAAAGAAGTATACAGATAATATTTAATATTTTTCCAGTGTACTTCTTATATTTTAGTTTTCATATTTTTTTGCTACTTTTAGATGTTTTTGTTGTTGTTATATTTTGTTATCTTAGTTCATGTAACTTTTTGTCTATCAAAAGTTTTTTCATTAGTCTTTGAGTGA